GTTCAGCAGTGGAACTCTCTGCCCCGGAGTGTGGTGGAGGAGGCTCCTTCTTTGGAAGCTTTTAAACAGAGGCTGGATGGCCATCTGTCAGGGGTGATTTGAATGCAATATTCCTGCTTCTTGGCAGGGGGTTGGACTGGATGGCCCATGAGGTCTCTTCCTACTCTTTGATTCTATGAGTCACGCCTAGCTCCAGCAGACAAGAGTCCTTTGTCCCACCCTGGTCATTCCACAGATATATAAACCCTTTTTCCTAGTTCCAACAGACCTCACTACCTCTGAGGATGCTTGCCATAGATGCAGGCTGGAACATGGCCATATAGCCCGAAAAAAAAACCTACAACAACCCATGGGAATTAATGTTGACTGGCCCTTTAAAAAAAAACAAAACCTGGCTGGCAGCACTAGCCCCAAGAGTGCATACCTGGACCAGACCGCCTCCGAGCATGCGCACTTGGCGCTGAGGGGGGGGGAGGTGACCGTTGCTCTTGTGCCAAGGGCGCCCGGTATTTGAATCTCTCTTTCGCGCGGGCGCTCTGCTATTGGCCAGCGGGTGTGTGTGTGTGCGCCCGCGAGAGAGAGAGAGACGCTCCGAAAGGGAAAGAGTGTTGCTTCTGCGCCTGTGCGTGTGGATCTGGTTGCTTAGCAACGCGGCGCGCGCCCCAACCAGAGGCAGAAAAGCAGGCGACGGTGCAGGTATTGAAAGAGGAGTCGACAGAAGAAGAAGAAGGAAGGGTGTAGAGCAGGCCTGGGCAAACTTGGGCCCTCCAGGTGTTTTGGACTTCAACTCCCACAATTGTGGGAGTTGAAGTCCAAAACACCTGGAGGGCCCAAGTTTGCCCAGGCCTGTTGACATTGGCTTCCCATTGGCTCGATGCCATGGATTCCTGGGAGATGTAGTTTTACAAAGGTGACTTCAATTACCTAAATAGCACACCCTCAGAGGGCTTGAAATAACTACTGCCATGAACGCGAGTACAATCGTTGTTAATTGTTATGATAATAATTATAATAATTAGGTTTTACAATAACTATATAATAATCATTATTATTATCACAAAGATCACAAACAGCAGCACAGTGAAACAATGCAGGGAATAATAATACCAAATATAATTAGTAATTAAGGACCGTGAACAACAACACAGTGAAATTAGATAGGGAATAATAATATTAATATACTTAATAATTAAGGAACACAAACAGCAGCACAGTGAAACAATGCAGGGAATAATAATACTAATATAATTAGTAATTAAGGATCGTGAACAACAACACAGTGAAATTAGGGAATAATAATATCAGTATAATTAATGTATTGTCGAAGGCTTTCATGGCTGGAATCACTCAGTTCTTGTGGGTTTTTTCGGGCTATATGGCCATGTTCTAAAGGCGCCTCTAGAACATGGCCATATAGCCCGAAAAAACCCACAAGAACTGAATATAATTAATAATTAAAGACCACAAACAGCAGCACAGTGAAATAAAGCATTATTATCACAAACAGCAGCGCAGTGAAACAATGCAGGGAATAATAATACTAATATAATTAGTAATTAAGGACCGTGAACAACAACAGAGTGAAATTAGGGAATAATAATATTAATATAATTAATAATTAAGGACCACAAACAGCAGCACAGTGAAATAAAGCATTATATTATCACAAAGATCACAAACAGCAGTGCAGTGAAACAATGCAGGGAATAATAATACCTAATATAATTAGTAATTAAGGACCGCAAACAACAACACAGTGAAATTACATAGGGAACAATAATATTAATATACTTAATAATTAAGGACCACAAACAACAGCACAGTGAAATAATGCAGGGAATAATAATACTAATATAATTAGTAATTAAGGACCGTGAACAACAACACAGTGAAATAAAGCAGGAAATAATAATACTAATATAATTAGTAATTAAGAACCGCAGACAACAAGACGGTGAAATTAGATAGGGAATGATAATGTCAATATAATTAATAATTAAGGACCACAAACAACAGCACAGTGAAATAAAGCAGGGAATAATAATAATATCATGAGGTCAGTAGTATTGTGCTCTAGACCTTTGTAAGTCTGAATTCGGAAGACCCCAAGGAGTAGTTTGACGTGTTCATTTTCTGTAACTTTTTCAGACTTGTGATCCCACCAATTCTTTGTCGCAGGCAGATGGTATTTGTGGCACAAGTTCAAATGAATAATCTGAGCAACGGTGTTATGTCTCTGTTTGTAGTCTGTCTGCATGATCTTCTTGCAGCAGCTGAGGATGTGATCTGTTGTTTCATCTACTTCTTTGCAAAGTCTACACTTGGGATCTGTCGTCGACTTTTCAATTCTGGCTTTGATAGCATTTGTCTTAATGGCTTGTTCTTGGGCTACCCGAATCAGGCCCTCCGTCTCCTTTTTCAAAGTTCCATTTGTGAGCCACATCAATGTTTTTTCTTTGTCAGTTTGGCTCTCAATTTTTCCCAGGAACGGTCTGTGTAGAGCCTTCTTTTGCCAGTTTTCTCTTCTGCTCTGGATTGTGTTTTTATGGTATTCACTCTTTGTCTTTTGCACTTTAAGCAGTTTACTACTATTGACTTTCCTCAGTGTTGGTTCTTGACTGCCTTTCACATAATCTGCCAGTGCATGTTTCTCCTACCGTTTTTTTTACTTGCAGAAGCCCTCTTCCTCATGATTTTCTAGACAGGTAAAGTCTGTCGACATCACTATGTGGGTGTAATGAGTAGTGGATTGTCATCATCATCATTATCATTATTATTATTATTATTATTATTACACAGGGCAGAACGACCAGAGCAGGAAAGTGATGGTTGTAGCAGGCGGAGGGGGAACCCAGACGTTCAGTTTGACCTTCCTCACTTGTGTCTGCAACAAGTGCTTCCACTACTGTGAAGAGTGCCTGCAAAACTGGGATTGCTGGTTTTAAACCACTTTATTGATGTGTTGCAATCACAGATTCCCAGATTAGTTTAGGGTTTACACCTTATTTTATTTTTCTGGTTGTTTAATATTTAATGTTTACTTTACTTAAGTGATATTTGTCTTTGGTGTTCTAATGTAGCATAAATCCTTTGTAAAATCATACTATGTATTTTTGACATCAATATTGAAACCTGAAATATATAAAGAAAGTCTTTATTCACAAGGAGCCTATTTTTAAAGGGGTAAACTAATTGCATGTATGTTCAGTAAAAAAAAATTCATTCTTCTTTCTCTTTGGGACAGCCCACATACATAAGTTTTATTGCGGAGGTGGATGAAAATGTCTCAAGGAAGGAGATGGTTTGCTTGACATTGTGGGGTGGTGATCTCAAACTGGTCAGAACTCAGAAGTGGCCAGCATCCTATTCGCGAGAGATTTAAAAAAATAATACCAGTATTGTTCAAACTGCTTATCAGTTATTAAATGAAACAAAGAATTGTCATATGTAAAGATGAACTATCAGGAGCAATCAGAGTTCCTGGGCTGATTGGGTTTCTGCAGAAGCACTTTCCACCTTTCCCACTGGACACGTTCCCCTCAAACTGTAAAGTTATGGTTCCTGTAAATATCCAGCTGTGTTGCAAACAGTTCAGGTAACTTGCAGAAAGACAAAGTGTTTTAACAGAGGTGATATAATAGCAATTGCTTCTCTATTGTCTGCTGCAGCATAATGCAGTACCTGCAAATAGATAGTACTCTGTTATGAATGTACTGTTTATTCATGAGATCAAGGGACTAGTATAGAAAAGAGAAGGGGATGATCAAAGCTGAATTCAGAAACAAAGGACACTGCAGATGGCAGGAAAGAGCAAGACAACTGATGAATGTTGCCACAATGTACACTGTCACAATGTTTTAAAATTACAAATACGGTGAGATTAATTGGAATCATCTAGAATGGGCAAGCTGGCTCAGGATGAGGAGGATTGTAATCTCTCTTATCTGGAGGGTGCCAGGTCAGGGCAGTCTGCCTCAGATCTATCTGCAGAAAGGTTACCTGTAAGGAAAGAAGAAAACATGCCTCTTCATGGCTCCTTAGAAGAGCAACCAGTTGCTGCCAGCAATATATCTGTTATCAAGTATGGGAGGGTCACAATATTTGCTAGCAGAAAATGAGGAAAGATGGGCCTTGCCCTATATCTTGTATCACTTCAAGAGCTGTTTTAACTATATAAGAGTTTCCCATTCTCTTGATTTCCTGGCACTTTGTGATGCCAGACCTGCTGGACTCTAGACCTAGATCAGCCACTGCAACCATCTCTTAATGCATCTCAGTAGATGCTATCACAAATTGCCAAAGCGAAGGGAACTAGTTTGGGTTGCCATGGATCAAGTTCTACAGATGGGAACAAGAAATAGATATAACCCATTAAAATAGGTCCAATTTAAGTTCCACTACCCAAATAAACGGTACTTAAGTTAGTTGCAACTAACTTCTATTCCCTTGCTCTCAAAAATACTTAGTTACAGTATTCAACTTCTAGTAGGCATTGTTCTAATTAAATTTTGAAATAAATGCTGTTCTAAGTTATGATTTTATATGTTAAAGTACAGTCAGCCCACCACATTCACCTGAATTAGGGGTACAGGACTTCCACAAAAGTGAAAAAGTGCAAATATGTATGGGTGTTATGTGGTTGCCAACTCTGACATTGGAACTGATCCACTGTATATTAAGCAAATCTACATCACGTTAGGTAAACATGTCAGGTGAGATATGTTGTGTGTTTTCAAGTCATTTCTGACTTATGGCAATTGTAAGGTGAATCTATCATGGAGTTTTCTTGGCAAGATTTGTTTGGGGGTGGGGCAGGGCTGCCTTTGCCTTCACCTGAGGATATGACTTGCTCAGGGTCACCAAGTGCTGTGGAGATGGGATTCAGACGCTGGTCTTTAGAATCATGAAATACTTAAATCATTGCACCACACTGGCTTTTGTTCACCATACTTTTGGTTTGTCATTATCTTTACTCCTCTAATGTTTGCATTTGTTGTCTTAGGTTTACAAGACTTCCACAGTGTATGCTACTCACAGTATACTGTCAACAATTCGTATCATTAGGGCATCATTCACTTTTGAAGATAAGGAAATAATCGCTACCTCCAGTTCCAGGATGGATAAGAAATATTACAAGGTGCACAGATCATATAGTTGTAAAACATGCTGCTTAAAATAAGGTGTAATAAACAGCCCTGCTCAATTTATATAGAATATTATATACTGACTTTTTTTTTTAATATGCCATTGCTTTAGAAGGCAAGAGTAGCCTTAGGTTTTGTTTTTAATTACGTTGAAGCAAAATATGTTTAGGCATGTCACATTTTTATAGTTCATAATGAGTTTATTGCACATAATAATTATGGGTTCAGTAATTAAAAGTTTAAAAATTGCTGCTATTTTATTTAATATAAATGATAAATCAAAGATTTCTTTTGCCTTTATATAAGTTAAAGTTAGGATGTGTCAAACATCAATCTTATGTTTTATATTATGGTAATTGTATATTAGTAAGACTTCAAGCATGGGAGTTGTATGAAGCCTCTGTTAAGTTTTAAAAAGCATTGGCTAAGGGCTGAATTTCTTTTGTTGTTTATTATGCTGTACATCATGTACACATACAGAAGTGATTTATATTCATTATTATAAAACTTTATTTAGGGGAGTTCCTGCAAACGGGAGTCTGTAGCACTTACTGCTGTTGCATTACAAGATCACATTTTACATAATCTTCAGCTCCAGAATCTTTCATTAGTAGATCCTTTAAAGTTAAATAAAAAGCATACATACAGACCTGTGAACAAAGAGACAGTTAAAGCAATAGTAGATACTGGACTGAAGAAGAAAACAAGCAATCACCATCAAAAGAATGAAGATCCAGAAAAGGAATATGTCCTTGATCCATGTCCACCACCTCTCACTTTAGGTAAATCATCATGTTTGAATGTATGGTGTTTTTAAGAACACAACATAGATTATAGTGTTTATATCTATGTGTATTTCTTTGTTTGCTGCACTCCTGGATGGCATGCTAGCTGATGATTTCTAATGAATGTACATATTTACATTTACAGTGTACAAATAAAGCAATAAATAATATGTGCTGAAACAGCATGCAACACTAAAATGAAACCTAGAGTTAAGAGCAATGAACCACATGAAACAAAATTAAGTATTGTAGTAAAATAAACATTAAGTGGGAAGCATTAAAAATAATTCTTGAAATGTCCTAATTTGGAACTGAAAAGACCATAATGTAGTTGCCAGACATAATTTCCTATGGAAGGCATACAGGTGGGGCATCCCCACTGAAAAGGCCCTCTGTCTTTTCTCTACCTTGCAATGTTTGGCTGGGATATATAGGAGTAAGCTTTGGGTTTCGATATGCAGCTATAAGAGAAAATGATTCTTTAAATAATAACAACCTGGCCTCAAGCACTTCTGCTTTTTTCCACAACATAACAGGCGGGGAAAACACATAAAAGTCCTGCTGGTTCTCACGAGAAGATCTACCACAGACTGGAGACAAGCATCTGTTTCTAGTAGTGACAAATTAAAAGTTTACCGGCAGGGCATGAAGGCAACAGCTTGCTTTTCTAAGCTTATAGTTCGAGATAGACTGTAAACATGAAGGTTCTAAATAAGTGTAGAATGAATATTTACATTCTGGTCATTCGAAGAACTGGGAATAAACTTTTTTTTGGTGGGAAACCAAATGTAATGTATGAGCTAGGATTTTTGAAGGTATCACTGTATTTTTTCAATTCTAATATGCACTTTTCCCCGATATAAATACCTAAAATGGGTGCATCCTAGAATCGTGTGTGCCATTTTATCTATATGAATAAAGCTTTTCTTTCTGTTGTTTGTACTGAAACTAGGTTGTCTCTTACAATTGATGGCATCTTAGTATCAAATAAATATAATATTAACAAACGTTTATATGATTTGCAAACTTTAGAAAAAATGCTGACATGCTTATGGAAATATTTACCCACAATGCCTGTGATTTTATGTTTATCATATTTTCTTGTTGTGGACCTTCAACTTACTCCTAACTCTTGGAGACAATAAAGCAAACCTCTCATGGGGATTCTGTGGCAAGAGTTAGGCATGACTGCCATGTTTTATATACTGTTCCCCAATGTCACCCAGTGTGTTTCCATACTTGAGTGGGGATTTGAACCCTAGTCTCCCAGAGTTCTAGTCTGGTATTACAACATGCTAGCTCTCATCTTGAAAAAATAATATCAAGAGTGTCCATGTGCGTATACATGTAAAAAAAAATCCAGGATTATAGGTCCTAAATAATGCATTTTATCCATCTTTTCTATATATGTGTGTATACACAGAGAGAGATATTTACAGTGATAAGAGATATGAAAACAAATCTGTAAAGAGTTTTGCCACTTGAGAAGAAAAGTTATCAGTGACTCAAATGCAGTAAAACTACATTAGCACCATCTAGAGTTGTATTTTTATAACTGGGATATATTGTAAGTGGGATAAGAACTTAAGCAATTATTGCTTTTTCCAAACATAGTTAATAGTTTAGACATAATATTTTTACTTTACCTTTCCTTTGTTCAAAACTCTACATGTTTTGTATTTGTAATGGTTTCCTAGCAACCCCTGTAAATAATGCTGCAGTTAAAAATCTTTCTTCAGAGCAAGAAACAGCAGGTGTGCTTCTTAATAAAATGCATAGATGCAAAATCTTAGAAACTTCGGATCATAAGAGATGCAAGGCAACATTTCATATTGCTATCTTTAAGGTATAATACAGCAATTTGGAAAAATGCACAGAAAGTGCATTAGTTTATATCCTTAGCAGTAAAAAGACATCCTTAAAGTTTGTTGAAAGGCTCAGCCCATTTGCTGATTCCCAAGAAGAAAAATTAAGTGCAGACTTTTAAAAAATTAATTGGATTCTCGAGGGGGGGGGGGTTGGGGGAGAGCACAATTCCTTGTTTCTTTGGACAGTAAAGTACATTGCACAACACTACAATGGACAAAACTGCTTCAAGACTTGCCAGATCTTGACTATTACACCTTGGTTCTCTTTAATATAAACTCCATTCTGTATACCTAGACCTAACTCCAGTTGGTATTCCCAAGGAGAATAAATTTAATAAACCGTGGTATTTACATATATTACATTGTTATTCAGCGATTGGTTAAATTTGTCTACTCTAATTAAGACTAATAATTGGATTTAGGTCCTATGGTTCACTAGAAGCCTGAATTTTTGTGCTACAGTATTCTTTCTATGAACATCTCATACAGTGCATTAGTGTCCACGTCTACTCAGAAATAAGCAATAGTAGGTTTTTTCTCCTTCAGGCAAGTGAGTTCATAATTGCAGCCCCACATTTAAAAGGCAGCTATCTAACAACTGTTTGGTATGCAGGTACTTTTAATAAACAAATTTCCTCTGCATACCAAATGCTCCAGGCATCATCATACAGCCATATGTCCTAATTAGTGTTCTGATCAGTGTTAATCAGACCAATATTAGCCTGGCAGGAAAAGTGATGAAATTATGGATGTGTAGTCCTTTGGGCTCTTTAAACAGAAGTGGCTTATTCATTCTCCTAAGGGCATTGTTCTAGAGAATTGGTTACACATTGATGCTAAGTTGAAGAGTGGAATTTTCATCTTATTGCTCTCAACTAATCTGTAAGTTTTTGAGCTGACAAGTGAAAGCGTTTCAGATTGATTTCCGGGACAATAACACCATGCATACTAATCAAGCTGACACTTTTGTACTGTTTCAAGAAGAAAGTCAAATAATAAACATAGGCCATGATATGCATGGGTTTTTTCAGTCAGTAAATACAAATATAAGCAAAGGGGTACGAATAAGATATTTCAAGGATCTAATAATTCATTTCTTGCTCTTTGCCAGCCAGGACTGCACATAATCTGTTAGCTAGTAATCTCAATAAAAGACTGTGAGAGGTGCTGTTTGCCAGAGAAAAATATAGCTTACCTGTTAAATTCCTCAACCATATGCCACATCATCTTATCTGTGCATGTGTGGCTTAAAGGTAAATAAAAACACATTAAGCTTAAAACTTTAGACATTTATTTGGAAGTTAGCTTTGTTTAATCCAGTAGGATTTACCACTAAGTAGACTTTCATAGGATTACACTGTTAATGTGTCATTTAAAGTTGCATGTTACCATTCAGAACACAAATGTTACCATTCAGAACACAAATACTTTGAATTCTAGGGGGGGAGGGGGCAGATATCAGCATACACATTTCTATACATACATTCATATTGCTTGTTCATATTAGCCAATTAATTTTTCATGAAATCAAAGTTAGGCTGTTTACATCCCCTAAGAATTATGTCAGCTACCTAAGAAGTTATCTTTAAAAGGTGGCAAGAATTCTTTGTGCATAAAAGTGGCAAGTTAAGGAGATCTCCTTGGCAGACAATTGGTTTTTAATGATGTATGATTTACCTGAAATGGATAGATTGACAAACTTAATTAGGGAAACACAACAAAGGAATTTAAGCAAGACCAGCAATCAATCGTGGCATACTTGAGAGAAAATTGGAGCAGATAATCAATTATATAGTGTCTGAAGAATAGTAGAAAGCACGCCAAATATAAGTTTGCATATGTTGCCTAGTTTGACAAATAATAAAATATTTTATACTAGAGGAAGGTGCTTTAAGGCAGCAAGTAATTCCTATGGTTTTGGGTGTGGAAGTTGGAAGCCAAGCACTGTTTACCTACACGCCCGCCCCCCCCGCCCCCCCAATTTTTATTTTCTTTTTATAATCTTTTATTATTTTTGATTTAATATAGGCTAAAGTAGTTTGCTGTTTACTACTATTGACTCTATTATTTGTTTTATATTGAAAAAAATATGTTTTGTGATTGTGTATTTTTATGTTTAATAAAGATGTGCGAGAGTGGGTCAAAAAGTTGTGCCTCCTGGGCCATAAAATGTTATAAATGAAAATATAACATCAGAAGTTGCTACAGATCATAGCCTGAACTATCCACTACACAATACTACCGTTCATAGTCACAATAAATGGCTTTCATCCTTGGGTTAAACAATAGTGCAATTGTGTACAAATTGTTTGTGATTATGTTGAATTGTAGTTTTGTGTAGAGGATAGTTCAGGCTATGATCTGTAGCAACTTCTGCTGTTATATGTTCATTCCTAATGTTTTTGTGATACAGGAGGCAAAACTTTTTGACCCACCTTCATATATTTTAAAAGGTGTCTTGTAAAAGTAAACTGCACTGGTGGTTGAACTGACCTATTCATCTGATCCATTTTTTCAGTATCGTATTGTACTGTGAACCAGAATAATGACACTCTGGAGTGCTAGGATGGTGTAATGATTTGAGTGTTGCACTAGGATCCCTACTTAGTCATGAAAGCCCACTGGCAAACCTTAGGCAAATCACTCTGCCCCAGTCTCAGAAGGAGGCAAAAGCAATTCCCCCCACCCCCAAACAATTTTTTTTTCAAAAAAGCCCTGTGACAGGTTTGCTTTAGGGTTACAATAAATCAGAAACAACTTGAAGGCACACAACAAAAAATAGTCTGCCAAGGTATCATCCAAAGTTAACATCTAAGTAATGATAAGATATCTTTGTATAAGCCTTTTAAATTATAAACAAAAACATGGGTGTGATCTTGAAGAAATGTTGTGTGTCAGTAATACTAACATGGACTTTGTCTATAGCTCAAAAATTTGGACTGGTGGATCTCCCTGCCAAACCATTAACTATGGAGGAATGGGAGCAAGTGAAACAACGATCTATAAAACAAGGAGATTCTGTTCAGCCTTGTGCCATATGCAGAGAAGAATTTGCACTTCAGCCACAGGTAATTTATTTACTTTGATGTTGTGGTAGATGTTCTGTCAGTATTGACCAAATCAAGGCTTGCACAAGCTCAGTTGGGGGAGGCGAAATCAATTGATATTGAGTGGACTGATAACACATAGCCTGTTGGTGTCATTCATGTGTTCAATTTGCAATTCACACCCAAACCCCAAGTACAAAAATGAAGACAATTATATATGCACACAAATGTTTCATGGTGGCACTCTCACCCTGAAATCTTTCCTCCTCACTGAGAGCTGGAGAAGAAGTACCAGGCATTAAAATCTAAGAATGTAATGCCCAAGCAGGATTTGTTTTATGTCCCCAGTAGAACAAGACCACATGGCAGACTTGCTGATAAAGTGAAACTTTACCTTTTTAAAATCAAAATTAAAGATGGTACCTCTGCTTGTTTGTTTATTTACCGTATATACTTATTTTTCTGCCCTTACGTTTGTTAGATACAGGATCCCAGGTGACTTACAAAAAATTAAAATGAGATAAAGCCAAAAAAAAAAACTAATTACGAGAAACTTAAAACACAATTAAACATGTTGTCATATTTAAATGCCATTAACTTTTGAAAGTCTAAAATAATTTTAAAAACATAATGGAGATAAAAATACAGCATACGTACTCTTTTGCGCAACCAATGAATAATCAAATACCTGTTTCAATAAAAAAAAGTCTTTACCTACTGATAAAAAGAGCAGGAGGAGCAATGTAGGCAACTGTAATCAAATGATCTGCAACTTTTGCTTGAAGGAGAATTTAAACATTGCACTTAAACTCTAGAATGTTCGTTTTTGCAGTGAAAGCAACCATTAATCTTATGTGCCTTTGGCAATTCCCATCAGTTGTAGTGGTTTTAATGGTTTCTGTTTTTAACAGGTTTTAATTTTTTACAGTTTAATTGCATTTGTAACATTTTTATGTTGATAATTTTTAGCTATGCTTATTTCAACTGTTGTGAACCATTTTGAATCCCAAATTAGGAAAAAGAGGATCTAAATCAATATTATGCAGGCAGTCCCTAACTTACAAACAAAATCAGTTCTGTAGGTTTCTTCTTAAGTCGAATGTAATTTGTATGTAAGTTAGAACAGGTACATTTTTAAAGTGTAACTCCAGCAAAATAAAATGAGCTTTGGATAGCATGGGTGTTATGTGGTGTTTGTTTTGCTGTCTGTGCCTCTGTTCAGAAGACTTCACCTCACTTTCTGTCCCTGTGAGAATTGGATTTTGAAAAATTTGGCTTGCTGTGGAAAGAAGGATTGGCAAGAAAGCTTCAGTGGAGACACCTTTTCCCCATAATAACTCTTTCAGGAGTGAATTTCTCTTCTGAGGGGGAGATTTCTCTCACTTCCTGTTTTCTCACCCCTGCTATTAACTATAAGTTGGATGTTTGTAACTTGGGGACTGCCTGTAATTAAAAATTATTACAATCATATACATTTGTTCAATGAGTTTTAAAAGGTTTTTTTTTCTCTGAATAGGTTTTGCTTTCATGTTCTCATGTATTTCACAAAGTGAGTAAATATTATCCTTATCAGTTCAAATGAAATATGTTTTAAATTGAATTTGCACGTTGTACAATTATAATGTAAATACAGTATAATACTAATAATAATATAATATTATAATTATATATTTTATATTACATGTAATATTGCAAATAATATTACAATATAATTGTATAGTACAATATAGTGATGTATAGCGCTGATACTGTACTGTGCTAACGGTATAATGTAGTGTGTGTGTGTGTGTGTGTATCTTGTAAGCCGCTCTGAGTCCCCTTCAGGGTGAGAAGGGCGGCATATAAATGTCGCAAATAAATAAATAAATTGTAGACTTATTTCTAATGTAAAGTTAAAGTGCTGGAATTAAGTCTTGTTTCTGATGCTCAGCACAACTTCAGAATACTGCTTTGAGACAATATCCTTGAAATTGTTTTCAGAGGTTTTCACGTATATGTCATTCAAGGGTACATGTAGCCATGCACTGTGAAATATCAGTTATATTAATAAATGTTAAGCACATATAACCAGACAAATGATGTATTCATAACTTCCAAAATCAAAAGTAAGCCCCATTTAGTTTGTGCTTTCAAGTCACCTGTCAATTTATGTTGACCCCGTAAATCTCATTGGATTTTCTTAGGCAAGGGATGATTCTCAGAGGTGGTTTTGCCAGTTCCTGCCTCTGAAATATTGTGTACGCACCTAATGTTTGAGAGCCAATGTGGTGTAGTGGTTTCAGTGTTGGACTATAACTCTGGAGACCAGGGCTTGAATCCCTGGTCAAGCATGGAAAGCCATTGGCTGACCTTGGGCAAGTCATACTCTCTCAGCTTCAGAGGAAGGCAGTGAGAAACCTCAATCAATCCTGCAAATAAAACCCCATGGCAGGCTTGCCTTTAAGTTGCCATAAGGCACTCAACCTGGAATTCAGTGGCAGTCTCTTATCCAAGTACTAAGGTGACCCTGCTTAAATTTTAAATACCAGACCGTATCAGTCACCTTTAGAATATTTTAGTCCATTTAGTTTAGTGAGAACTATTTCCATGCAAGTGTGTCTAAGGCTCCCACCCATGTATGTATGAATGCACAGTTGCCAAGGTTTAATTCTACACGAGTGTTCGTTTATTGCAGTTGCTTCTGATGTTCAGTACAATAGTTTATTAATGCATTAATGTTTGTATCAAGGCTTCCTTTGAATAATATGAGATAGATATACTAATCTCAAGTTGATTTAGAACTAAATGTCTTTTCTTAAGGCATGCCTGAAAGCTTTTGAAAGATTTGCAGGTAAGAAGACCTGTCCAATGTGTAGAAAAATCCAGTATCAGACTCGAGTAATTCATGATGGAGCACGTCTATTTAAAATAAAGTGTGCAACAAGGTAAGGCTGGCCTGTAAATGCCAAAATTGCAAGAAATCAGCAAGAAAAGTGCATACATAGAAGAGTCTATGTAGCAGGTTATTGCTGTGTGTTGTTAATGACCAGAGTTAGAGACTGGAGCATTTTATTTTAATTTATTTCACCTATCTTATCTAATAGTCTTTTGTTGAGATAGTCATGTGTTTTCTGTTTGAACTGGAGAGTTTACTTAATTTTAGATCACCATGGGGCTTGCTCAAAAAACAGCCAGTGATTTGCTGGTTCTCAAATTACTAAAATGCTGGAAGTTACCATTTCTCTCACTGTAAATGTTTGTCATTGTTGCACGGAGTGTGGCTGTAGTCAAGGATATTTAATTGACTGGCATATAACATCACAAACAACCTGAGACACAACTGATGTCCAGATAACTTTTTCGATATACATTTTTGAATACTACAATACTCCATTAACTTTATCTCTTGCATTGCAGCATGGAGACACATAGCTGTTTCTATCCCTTGAAAGATAATCAGTTTTATCACTACACCCCTGCCATTCCATGGTCTGTTTCCTCCCCCACCACAAAATGTCCTGAATGTTATTGTAGGCTGGATCTACACTGTCCTATATCCCAGGATCTGATCCCAGATTATCTGCTATGAACTGGATTATATGAGAGTTTACTGCCATGTAATCGAGTAAACAGATAATCAGGGATCATTGTTGGCTGCCTTCAGGTCATTTCCACCTTATGATGACCCTAAGGTAAACCTGTTGTGGGGTTTTGTAGCAATATTTGTTCAGAGAGGGTTAGCTACTCTGAGGCTGACAGAGGGCTGCCTCCCAATGTCACTCAGTGGGTCATCATGGCCAAGGGACGAGTCAATCACTCCTCCCTCAAAGTCCTAGTCCAACAGGCAAACCACTAACACAGCAACGGTTTTCGTAATGTGGTCATCCACTGCAAAACTTTCCAACCTTTTTTTTAGTAATAACTGAAGTGTAAAGTAATAAAACCTCTAATCTCAGTTGCTAGGATTATTTCTTGTATATTCAGGAGAACCTATCATGTTTCAATAATTGTGTTGAAACGTTGATTTGGATATGTTCTGAGTACAAGGTTACCACATTAAATTTGTGGTACAGCTGATGTCATGGAATGATGAACCTGACAGATGGTTTCCCATCCAACTTTTTTGCCCTCAAACTAGGAACCACCACAAAAACAAATTAAATCTTGTAAATTAAATTTTCCCATTACTCTGGATTTGTGAAAGATCTGTATTTTTTTCATGCCTCAGAATTCAAGCTTTCTGGCGAGGATACATTGTTAGAAAATGGTATAAAAATCTGAGAAAAACAGTGCCGCCAAAAGATGCCAAGCTAAGAAAAAAGTTCTTTGAGGAAAAGGTATATGTGGCAATTATTTATTCTCAACTATATACCTCATTTTCATTCTCCTAAAATGTATTATAAAGCTACGGAAGTAAAACAATTTCACTGTTGATCAGATTACTCAGAAAAAGGATAATTTTGTAACAGAAGTATTAAGGATTCTATGACTTGAATTATGTATACAACACTACAGTACTTAATATGTTTTGCATCCGGCCATAATTAGGGTAGAACTATTGAATCAATGTTGACTTCAGCGGCTTTTCTCTCTAAATGCAATCTACTCTGGTTTCTTAGCTGGAGAATCTCTTCCCTACATGCTTTCTGTTTTCTCAAAATTATTCTACAGGTTTACCATTTGTACTGGTAATGTTATGATACAATGCCACATAATTATTTGTTGCTTCCCCATTTTGGGAGGATAATTCATCTGTGACAGATTTTTTTTAAAAAATGTTGGTGTTATTGTAGTGTAGTGCATCAAATGTACAGTAAGACAAACATCAGGCTGAGTGTTTCTGGCAACAAGCTTGTTTTTTTCTTTCTTTGACCTTTCAGATATAGATTGCTATTTGCTATAGCAAAAGCACTCCCAGTGACCAGGCTGTATTAGTTACAAAGTATAATATGTTGTTGAAATGTTTCCTCATCTAATTCAAGAACATTACCTTGAGTCAAAGGCTTTCATGGCCAGAATCACTGAGTTGCTCTAAGTTTTTCAGGCTGTATGGCCATGTTCCAGAAGCATTCTCTCCTGATGTTTTGCCTGCATCTATGGCAGGCATCCTCAGAGGTTGTGAGTTTTTTGGGCTGTATGGCCATGAGAACATGGCCATACAGCCCGAAAAAGTTAGAGCAACCCATTACCTTCAGTGCTTTTCTTTGGCAGAGTAAATACCAATTTTCACCATGTGAGGGCATATTTAAACAATATATTTATCATTGAAAACATGTGGGGAAATTATCTCAAGGTGACTCTTACCATAACATAAATAGTTTTGATACCAACTAGAAATTTGAAACAGGAAAAGGTGCACCATGGGAATTAACGGTAATTCAAAGAAAAGTAATTTTAAGATTGTGAGTTCATAGTGCCTGGCTATGATTTTGGGAAGACCCAAGCAGGAGATAGATTTAGGTCCAGTGCTAGATCTTTTAGTGATTGGCAATAGATCAGCAGGGGTTTCAGACTTACAAGTTTCATCATGTACAATAAAGTCCTGCCCTAAAGTTTATGCTAAAATTACCAAAAGATGACCAGAAATATACTTTTGTAAGCATGGTGAGCTTTATTCAGGTCTGATGCTCAAAACAAATCTCTTTGTCTTAAAATGTTTCAAAAAGGATGTATTTAGTAGATCTCCAATGAAGACGAAAAGGGAAAAGAGTCCCTGAAGTTTGCCCACCCATTATCCCCAGAAAGAAGTTTCAATATTTATTCCAGATATAGTTGCTCTTCTCAGAATAATTTTCCAAAATGTTTAATTCTTTGTAGACAAATATAGGAGTGACGTTTTCAGCTTTTTGTGAAACCAGGGAATGTTTGTAGATTGCAAATAAGTTTCTAAACTGGAATTTTTATCAACTTAAATGGTAACAGAATCAAAGTACTTGTGCAGTTAGGAGTATAAAACCACTTTAAATGCATCTTTTCTATGAATTATATGTTGGTCCTTGTCCTTTGACAAAAATACACAAAAGGGTCAGATGCTTAATGTTTGAAGTGGCATTTCTAAAAAAGTGCCTAATGGTAGTACACTAGTCCTTTTACACTAATCCATCCGAGTTATTGCTAACAGATCAAAGAGACAGCAAAAGGTTACTGCTACCAAACTATGCTAATTTTAACAACAATGTATATACCAAGGAAAGGGTTGCCTAGAATTCAGTGTGTTCTGTAGTGAATTTCTTTGATCCTCATCTATAAACTATGCTTGTATATGTCATCTGTTTGAGGTAGCCTTTTACTGCGGTAATTAAATCTTTTCAAATGCATTACATTATCTCCAGGCCAGCTAAAAATGTAGACCATTGTTAAGGAAGCTAGGTATCTTATTTGTAAAATAGTGCAGCTTCCTCTAGTAGCTGACTTCTCTATCACGTGACTTCTTCCCAGCGATTTTAATTTAAATCTCACCAAACAGCATAATGGTCCAGGAGTTTGTTTAGCCATTTGACTTCCTTTATCACATAGAGATGGCAAACATTCTGTTGCTAACTTGATGTAGCTCCAGGCAGCAAGGCTAGAAGGACATTAAACCAGTAAAAGCTTATCAACTGATTCATTGATACGCTGTAAATTCCAGCCTTTTCATTTTACTTTTAAGTCAACACATTAGTAAGCAATTTGCTGACATAAAGATGGATTGCTTTAAAAGGGCTCGCCTTTGGCAGACAAAGTTCATCTCAGTGCTTTTATGTGCATCTTTATTTAATCATGTTGTTGGGCTTCACCTAAAACCTGTGACTGATGGTGCTTTCCATCTAGATAAAAATATTTAAAATGCCTTTGCTTTGTCATGTTGTTCAAGTTGAAGGGCAAATTAAGTCATCGTAATAGACACAAAATTAGTTAAACAAATACAGAAGAGTTTTTTTTCTGAGAAATTAAATGTTCTCATTTTTAAAATGGAGATTTTTTTTTCATGTTATCATTTCCTAGATCCTATGTTGTCCCACTATTCCTGTGGAGAGAGGATCTGCTAAACTTCATGTTCATCTTTAGCTCTCTGCACCATATCCTACAGCATTTCCAACTGTGATGCTGTCACCAGGAGCAGATGGGGAGTGGAGTAGTCATAGAAAAGCCTTGTGTGAGGAATATGAATTCTGTCCCTCATACAAAAATTGGAATCCAAGTACAGTGGAGCCTCTACTTAGCAATGTTCTAACAAACGTACATTTTGATCGACGAACTGTCACTTGGCCTAGGTTTCATTTTGACATCTGAACACCATTTTGATCTATGAAACATGGCAGATGGAGCGCTCAAACAGTGCCAGAACCCTAAAACAGTGCCAGAACCCTAAAAGGAGCACAAGTGCCAAGCCCCTTGCTCCAAATGGAGCACTTGAGCAAGAGAGTGCTTATAATAGATGGAGCACTCAAACATGCACGCGGCCACCAGAAGAGGGAGCACTCTCATGAGAGTACAAGGCTTCCAGAGAGCAGCTTCTATACCTCTCAGTGCCTCTGCCTGCATGCCTCTGCCTGCTTGCCATGTGCTCCTCTGCTTTGGGAGACTTCTGCATGTTTGCCTCTTCTCAGCTTTCTAAGATTGCTATCCACTGAGGAAGTTTGGGTTAGTTCATTTTGTGTGCTTATGTTTGACTTCAAGGAGAGAGCAAGAGAGGAAGGCTGGAATTAGTACTGTATGAATTAGTACAGTATGAAGAAAATGCTGTTTTGCCTTGCTGTTACACCGGCCAACACACATTTTGTTGCTTCAAATGTGGTTCCTTGTCACAACTTTGGGCTTCAACTGTGTCAAGGTTGACCTTGCTTTTTATTGTTCCATGAGAATGTGCATTTATACATTATTTGTAATTTAGAAAGTACATTTTATTATTTAAAAACATGTAACAAAAAATTGGGGGAGGGGGGTGTTTCAAGGGGCCAGAACGGATTAATAGCATTTCAATGAGATAAGAACATTTTAACTTAAGAACACAGTCACAGAACAAATTAAATTCTTAAGTCAAGGTATCACTATACTTGTTGCAGTAATTCTTATCAGGAGACAAAAGTTTTCCAGTTCTTCCCTCCATTCTGCTATGAATTCAAGATATTTTCACAAGCAACCCTACTGAAATTTATAACCCACCTTTCTCCCAACATAGCAGCCAAAAGAGTGACTCATTTTAAAAATCAGTATAGGTTCCAAGGTAACCAAATGTTTTATATTTTTAAAGTGATGTTAAATATTTTTAATGTTCCGTTAAATGTCATAGGACAGATGTCACATTTATTAGAGCATTAGCCACATGTTCAAGCAAGTCAGATCTGATTTGGGTGAGGAACAATCTTTGTTCAGATGCAGCCCCCCCCCCAAGTGTTCCTTGATACAGATCAATTGCATTTCAGTTCCAAAACTAAAATACTTTATCTGAACTGTGCAGTTTACAGAGATCTGCCAAAGATTATTGCATTCCTATGATACCCACATAGATGAATTCTTCTCAGAAATTGATTCTGATGTAGCCACAAGCCAGACTGTGTTTCAGCAACTTGACCACGTATTTGGTCCACACATAAGTGAAGTTGAGTGGGAAAAGATACAGATGCAGGTACGTTTTCAGGCAAAAATGTTTCTTGGTTCAGTCCAAGAGATGGACTTTACATTTATGCATTTTGTTCCAATTGCACCCATTTCATTGTTCTGCCCATTTCTGTGTTCCTTTATCCTCCATCAGTTTAGAACGGTGTACAGTAATACTACAGCTTTATCCTCACAATAAGCCTCTGGCATAAGATAGCTCAATAGGTGAGCTTAGCGCCTATTGAGCTATCTAGTTCAAAACTTCTAATGAATGCAATCCAAATAGTATCCTGTTCACGCAATCCAAATAGTATCCTGTTCAGGGAGTAAGGCCAGTTAATGGAAGTAGCCTTTTATGAAGTAGTCCATCATTAGACTGCCTTATTGTTAAGTACTGGACCTTTATAATCAAATCTTGCTTTATGTCTAAGTATTTTAATTCCTGATACTGTTTATGTGGTGTTCTCTGGATGATTGCTTGAGCAATCCACAGAGTGGGGTTTCTTGTTAATGGCACTGGAAAAGAAAATTTTATTGTAAAATGTATTGCACTAAGGGGTAAAATTACTTTCTGATTCACCGGGTCTACTTTACTTGGAAGGTATAGCTGGATTTAGATCAGGACATTGTTATTTTTCATATTGAGAAAAGGGAGTTGTATTTTCCGCTAATGAATATAAACAGCATTTTAAAATGCAGTATTTGTTTTCCAGGCTTTTCGCCAAGACATTGTTGACTGCCCAATTTGCATTATGCCACTGGGGCACCCTCATCTTCAGGATGAACTCTCCCATGACAGCGGCCCATCATATCTCCGTCAGACTGTTCTGCTTTCCTGTTCTCATATTTTTCACTGTACTTGTCTTCAAGCATTTGAAGAGTTTTCCTTGGGGGAAAGACCTGTATGTCCTTTATGCCGCTCCTGTTATCAAAAGAAAATTCTCACCTAATATTTTTTTTAAATATTACATTTTCATCCAATATCTGTGTTCCAGTTGATTTTGTTCTGAATGCATGTATGTGAATTTTGGAAAATCTTATTGGCTTAAGGAAAGACAGAGTGGCATTAATTGTTTATGACTATGGGTCATAACATAACCATTGGAATAAGATGCCAAGTATTTGGTTTTGTTTGGGGGCAGTGATTCTTGGGCATCTCCTTAAACACGGTCTTGCCTATGCAAGAAAGATGTGCTAATGTGAAGAGTTTACCCAAAATTCCTCTCCTGAGCTTCCAAATTTGGAAGCTTGCCCAAGAATGCTGGTATGTTCAAGAAAGCTCAAACCTAATTTCCTAAACCAAAGAAATAGTTTTTTTCAATTAAATTCCAGTAACCCAGACACACAGTTTCCTATCTCATCAATTCAGTACACTCTAGACCATGTAAATTCTTAATTTTACCACTACTTCCAACCTACTTCACTTGCAGATGACAATCCCACTGCTGCACTGTGATTACTTCCATTGGAACTATGTGTCTAAATCCATGCTTTCTGGCTAAATAGCTCACAGGTTGAAGTCTTGGTGCTTCTCCTCAGCCTATGTTCTGATTTAAAAAGGAAACCACCCAAAACATTTGTTTCTGCTTTCTCCGCTGAGGTACATAGAATTATCTGCTCCCCATTTCTTTTGGAGAAAAGTTCCCAGCTTCCTAGGTGGGCAAAAAATATTTTGTGAAGAATCCCAACATCTTGGCAGTTTCTATGTTATTGTGTGCCTTCAAGTCATTTCTAACTTACAGCAGAACCTACAATGGGTTTTTCTTGGCCAAATTTATTCAAAAGAGATTAGCCTTTGCCTTTCTGCAAGGCCAAGAGTGTGAATCCTAAGACAGAATTCAAACTCTCGTCTCCTAGTCATAGTCCACACGTAAACTACTATACTACCATTGGCCCTCAGGCAGTAACTAAATCAAGTTTATTTCCCAATTGCTTGAAGCACGCAAATCAGATTTATATTCTGCCTTTGCATCAAGATGTTCCATTACAAGGCTTGATCTCCATGAAATACCAAGTCATACAACAATTTGTCAAATCCTTTAATCAGCACTGTAAAACAGGCAATTGTAAAAGTTACCAGACAAAAGGGGGTGCAGATAAACATCACATTACAATCTGTAAACAGTGTCCATGTGAATTTGACTTCTGAATTAACCCTCTTGTGCGCCTGAATTTAACTTTTAAGAGCTGAACAGAAGAGATATGCTCAGACTTTACCACATTTTTGTCATGCCGTGTTAACACTGCTTTCATTCTGTGGAGAAGAAAGTCAAAACAGTGGTTCATTTAAAGACACTTCACTTACATACACTTTGGTCTGCTTCGACATATACCTAGCTCATCTATTTTGTGCTTAAGCCTCATAATTAATAAGGCAGATGGTTGATGCTGTTGTACCAGAAAAAGGTGCTGAGTGCTAAAACGGTCAAACCACTAGAAATGTCCATATGATAATTGGCTACTTCCTTAGAGGGGTGTTTAAGCCGGTAGACATCACATCCTATAAGAGGGGCGTTTCTTATTAATGGTACTAGAAATAAAAATTTTCTTGCAAAGTATTTTGCACTGAGGGGTACAATGACTTTTTCACATGGACAAAGCCAAGACACAGAGGAAACGGTCATATAGAAAAGGGAACTGAATCACTATTATTGTGTGTTTTATCTCAGATTCATTTCCAGAGTAGAGAATCATATTTGGGGGGAGGAGAGGTACTGAAATCAACTTTTCTTGAATTCACAGAGGAACAGTATGCTTTATTGGCACTAGACACACATTAGTTAAGCAGCCATTCCCAATTCAGAGGCAAGTGTATTATTTTCCAAGGGCAAAAGAGTGACATATGTTTGAGGTTAGTAATATACGAACTAAAAAGCAAACCTGATCCTAAAAATTACAGCTAGGAAGGGATCTCTCAACATACCATGTTTGAATTTTATCCATAAGAGATTATAAAAAAAAAAAAAGCTTTTCCTCTTGCACATTTTTTCATACTGGAATTGGAACATGTTCTAGAGCAGTGGTTCTCAACCTGGGGTCCCCTGATGTTTTTGGCCTACAACTCCCAGAAATCTCAGCCAGTTTATCAGCTGTTAGGATTTCTGGGAGTTGTAGGCAAAAACATCTGGGGACCCCAGGTTGAGAACCACTGTTCTAGAGCCATTTCTAGTGATTTGACCAGAGATTTAAGCAGTGTCCACACAAGACATTACTTTTCTTCTCCCCCCCCCACCCCATTAGTCTTAATGTGCTATTACAAACATGTCTAAAATAATAGATTTTTCATAATGTCAACCATTCTGTCTTCCTCTTCTCCCTTCCTATTTTGCAACAACTACACGTGTGACTTCTAGAGGAAATAAATGCCTAGATCTTTGACTAAATTCACAGTATTTTCTGGATGAATCTTGTCAAAGCAATGATAGTTACAGCCTTGTTTCTTCAAAGAACTCTCTGCTCTGCATAGACATGTATTGATATCCACAGTTAGGGTAATATAGTTCCAACTCAGACTCTTACTACTTACGGTGGGTCTGTAGAGATACATATTAACTGTATCAACCACACTAATTTTGAGTAGGTATGTTACTGGTCTTCAGTGGAGGTGGCAGTTCATTAAAATTATGTCCTTTAGAATACATATATGCAATTTAATCATGAGATACATCCAACATGTCATGAGAGATCACTATCATTTCAAATTGAGATGGACATTTGAACAGAAAGAGTCAACTGATTGCCATAAGCTTCTGTTTGGCAAAAAGGTCTGTTACAATGTATTCAATTTCCTAGAATCTATACCATTAAATTATGTTCTCTGCGAGTTCTACTTAACACTTCAATTTCCATTATTAAATTTGCTGTTATCTATGCTAGAAAATTTACTTTCGAATTTTTTTAAGCAAAATTAAATTGAGTAAGAACTTAGTTAAACGTGAATGTATCTGAAGTCTCCACAGTGAGATCAAGCAGTAAAGGTCATGCTTGTGGACCTTAACAAAGCTAGCAATACTCTCATCTCTCCTAAAAAGCTGGATAGCTTAAACTATCTAGATACTATGAAATACCTCCAAATCCAGTTCATGCATTAGAAGTACTGGATTTACGGGAACTGTGAAGTTCCAGTAAAGGCTATGTGACCAAACCTATAAATTGTCCTCATTGTCACAGTGTGACATGCCACCCAACTACAATCTTTCAGCAGTTACAAACTGATCTTTACAAACTACGCACTTCAACACAGAGTCTATACCTCAGTTTCAGTTCCTTCAGCTTCAGGTGTGCATGCTCTCTTAACATTTAGATTCTCCTAAACGGGAATCTAAATGTTTGTACTTAAAATGCACATTATCTATATCCTCCCCTTTTCAGGAAACTATAGATACATATACAATCAACTAAAAGAATTAATGAGAAAATAGTCTTGTTTCAATTAGATGAAATGCCCTGCCTCAGAAGTCATTTTAAGACAATACCTGTGAAAGCTGCCTTCTATTACCTCAGTTTTCTCACTGCTTATTGGTGAAACATTTCACAGAAAAGAAAGAATAAGACTTTCTGTGCATAATATTTAGTGAAGCAAGTAATTGCTGTATTAAGATATTCCAGATACATGATTCTGTACACAATGATCAGAGGTCTGTGAAATTTGTCAGTTTTCCAGGCTCAGTTTTAGCAGTGTGAGGTTAAATTATTGCATAATACATTAACCAGGAAGGAAGTTGTCTTCAGTGATAACTGCAGGACGGTTTGTTGTTTAGAAGTAGGACTGCTTAGATATTCGGTAGTTACAGTACAAACTACACGAGCAAATTAACTGATCCTGGACCTTTCTACATCCTGCAAGTTAATCTCGCTTTCATAATACAGTCCTACTGGAAAAATTAAGCAATGGGGTGCGGCTGGGTGCATTTCCAACTAGCAAGGTTCATCTCAGGCACATAACCACATTCTTCAGAAATGTATTTCTTCACAGACAGTTCAATATGGAAACTCTTCAAAGAGGAATGCAGTTTTCAGCTTCCCGGTTTTGAGCCACATTTCTGAACCAGCTGAAAAAGAAGCTGGAAGAAACACAGGCCAGTCCAAGAGAGGAGAACACAGCCAGATGTACCCATCTTTCTTGGACACATCTGTATCACGTTGGACCCAAAATACAAACAGGTAAAAGCAATACAAAAACCAAGTGTGATGAAGTGACAGGAATGTCATGAAGCTGAAGAGCTCAGTCCCACTGACTGCTTTTCACAGTGTTTTCTGATGCCCATTTACAGAGGGCTTAGCTGTCTCAGAGTCTCTTGCATTGTGTGAGAGGTGAAGTTTATCTAAACCTGAAAAACATTGTGAGAAAATTGAAGCAAACTTTATTTCATTTATGGCAGCACTAAATAGTCCTCTTTATTATAAGCTGTAATAGACTCCAGCCTACTTCATTAAAAACATGACTAGAGTGCAAGAAAGCCTATAGCAAATAAAACTTGTTAAATTTTTAAAACACCTAAACATGATACAAATTATCCAAATGTCTAATTGCCACTATCACCCATGTAATGGAATGTATATTGTGTTATATGATAGAATTTGGGATTATCCAGTGTTGTGTCCAATAGAGAAAAATGGCATTATAGATCATGATAAAATATCAAATATCTTGGCAGAGAGTCAGACATAAGGCTATGTGCTTTCAATTGCATCTCACTATAACTCAGAAAAAAATTCAGCAATATATGAATGGCCACATGCTTAGCACCTCTTCCACCAATTTATCTATCTAAACCTAATATATTACACAAGCCAACAAGTATTTTTCATCGGATATAATTTTAGGTCATTATAGAGTTTTTTGTGCTGAATTTAGATCTGTGTTTATTTTTTCTCTATCACGTATAGTTTTTGCGATGGGGCTAATTGAATAATTAATGCATTTACACACTAATATCAAAAAAATCTTAATTCATATCAGTGCATAAATGCATTATTTGATTAGTCTCATTGCAAAAACTACATGTGATCGAGAAAAATAAACACATATCTGAATTCAATGCAAAAAACTCTATATGAATGGCCTAAAATCATATCTGATGAAAAATACTTGTTGCCTTGTGTTAGACAAATATCATGTGAAATGTGCAGACTTTACAGTAGTCTGCTGTAATGTAACATTCGTCATATTTTTAAAAGTTGACATGATGGAAAAAAATAAAGACATATTTAAATTCAGAATAAAAACTTGATTTAAACTGTGCTATTCTCATTTCTGATGATTATAAAAAGTTTGATTTTGTTGGCTAGCGTTACTCATCTTAGTAGTATTTGTTCAATTATTTCATAGTTTGCAGTTTTTTATTTACTATCTTTACTATTTACAACCAATGTTAACACAAATGATACTTTTTTTTCTAAAAATGCAAAACATGGAGAATTCGGATACAAAACTATTCACCACATAGGTCTTTCCATACCAGGTAGTCTAGGTCATTAAATGGTTGGTTTGACCTAAGTTTCACATAAACTAGAAACTCATACCAGCTGATTATTTTCACTGGTATATAAAATTCTGAGGCTACATTTAAACCATGTTAAAGCAAGTCAAGCACCAAAATAAGAGAATGCAATTTACCTAGTGCTTTGAGCAGTTCTTCTCTAACTGCTGAGGTGAATTTTCTGACCAAACTCAGGGTTGTCAAAATGGCAAAGAGCAGATTGTAAGATAGCACGATATAGAAGTTCCCTAACCAGTTAAACCTTCCAAAGTCTCCAAGAAGATCAAATCTTGTAATGCCTATGGGAGAGACAGAGAAATAATACCAATTTGGAAAAATCTAAGATACAGAGTGGTATTTCAAAAGATAGAAATTATGATCTCTACAGCACTTTCAGCACAACTCTATATACTGTAAGATCCCAATCACTTAGTGAATTCATGTAGTTTTCAGAATAATGATTTCTATCAACGATGTTATGTTACTTTAAAGAAAGCAGAAAACTACTTGTCTTGAATCTCTGTGTTCTGTTTTTAAAGCAGTATTTTAATCTGTAAGATAGGTCTGTGGAAACAAAAAAGAGCTCAGTCCTTGTTCATTTCACAGGGTCCAAAGATGCAGGCCTTTATGTCATGCAGGAGCATAAAAGAAAAATCTGAAATAAGTTCTGAACATCTGCCCAGCAAGAGTATCATCCACCTATTTGAAAGAGGAGCACGGTGCTGTCAACCTCCTAAGCCACTGGCACAATGCTGCCATGTTTGTAAAGCTCCATTTTTGCATTCAACAAAACGATCTATAGTAGTCTGAAACAGGTGAATTTGCTCTTCCATTTGCCTTTCCCATTACAGCAGCCGTGATCCTTTTTATCATCCAGGGACCTGCTTTCATAATGTAATGAAAAATGCATCTAGAAATCTGTTTATATTCTATGTCTCGTTTCATCCACCCAGTACCACTGGGCATAATTTCCAATGTGAGGCATGTTGATATTTAGCAAAGCATCACAAGACTCACTGTACCCTAATACACTCTTATTAATCCTATTTGGACAGCTGCGTCTGTGCATTTGTTAGCTGTGTTTTAACTGTTCATCTTTTCTGTTTTAGTCTTTCCTTTATCTCTAGAGCAAACAACAGAGGAATGTCATTTGTGGGCCACAGAAAAGAAACTAAAGAGTCTTGCTTTCTATTTCTTTTCTGAATATACCATAGCCATTGTTCACTTTTTGTTTATGTGTTCGAACAATTTTTCATTCGACTCTTGTGCACCATTTAAAAATATTGAGGTTCCAGGGATAATATGAGTGTTAAAAGGTGGGTTAGACTGTTATTACATGTTTTAATGTATTTTAAGAGTTTTCTGTATGGCTTTATGGCAAAAATTGCCCCAAAATAACACATTTTTAAAAGGAATGGGTAGATTAAGGGCCACGAAAATAGGTCGCTATAGGCCACATTATGCTCACATCTATTCTGACACATAATATATATTATGCAGCTAAAATACTCATATTCTATCTCTATTCTTTCCTTAAATATCTATTTGCTGTTCTGCAGCAGCTACACCAAGTGGAAAATACTTAAAATATTCTTTTAAAAGTGAAATAATACTTACCCAGTGTTCTAGACATAACTGGCAAAGCTGAACTGAGGACCAATATAGAAACACAGTTCCCAATTATCTGTTGCAACAAAAATACGTTATTTGAAACAGAAGTAACATTTTAATGACACCTGCTAAGTTTACTAAGTAGATGCAAAACATACAAACCACAAATCATCTTTTACTAATCCAATTGCTTCTACTGCTTCCCCATCCCAATGGTCTCTTCCTTCTGCACTCTTCCAAATGTACAGTAAAATACATATTCCCATATTAATCCATTTCCTCTACAATTCTGAACAGATCACAAGGATATTTGAAACCAACAAGGTGATACCTCACCTTGTTAACAAAAGCTGTACCAGTCAAACGCAAGGAAAGCATGGTTGGCACCAGTTTCTATCACAGTGCTATTGAATATAACATTATATTGCAGGTTATTACCTACAAAGCCCTATACGCTTCGGGTCCAACCTATCTTTGAGACCACATCTCATTCTATGAACTGGTACAGGCTTTGATATCAAGTGCGGTTGGTGGGAACAAGAGAGAGGGCTTTTTCTCTGTAGTGGCTCCCTGGCTCTGGAATACCCTCCCAAAAGAGATTAGATTAGCCCCTACCCTTGAATCCTTCTCACCCCGCTCCCCAGATTCAAACCGCCAACCTGTCAGTCAGCGGTCCTGCCAGCAAAAGGGTTTAACCCATTGCGCCATCGGGGACTCCTTCAAACACCCATTAAGAGCATCAAAGTATGATCATCCATGGATTCACTGAAATTACTTTGATTTATAAAATAAAAGTATTGTATTAATATGAACTGAAAGGTGGAAGTGTAAATAACTGCTATGAATAAGAATAACCCTATAACACCATGTCAAACAAGGGAAACATATCGGGAGCTCGTTTAAAAAAATGCCTAAACACAAATAAGGTGGCAAATTAAGCACTGTTGCTGGCTTACAATACCTTTTTCCAAAATGCTTTCCATGAACGAGGTGAACAAACATAATGGAACTCCTCAACAGTATTAATCAAGGATTTTCTATATTGTTGTTTACTTTCCCACTTCCAAGAATTTCTGGCAAGATGAAAGAAATCTTGCTACTCGTTTCTTTGAATACCTCTCCCCCTCCCTTCCCCCCCCTCCGAAAAAAACCCTTTTAAATAAAGTAGAAGGAAATCTCAAATATGTGAAAGTTGAACAGAATCCTTTCTGGTTGCTTAGTTTATAGGACTACCTTTTCAATGAATATGTCACTAATTCTGCTAAACCTGCTATAAACATCGTGCCAAGTCAGAGTAGCCTCAGAATGAGGTACATTGCTGAAAAGAACCACTTCCTAAGTAGTTATTCAAATAGATGGATTTGCTTGTGTGACTTTGCATGACTAGTAACCAACCAAATTCCTCACATTTCAAACGTGCCCCTAAAGTCCAGTTGGCACAATCAAAGTTACTCATTAGCAACATGTTTCCTTTTGGAGAGGAGAGAAAAAACCTTGCTCACATTTTCTATGGTCAGTTAACAAGCTCTGCAGTCCCAGGAATTTTCAATGTGAATAGAATCCATTCAAATTAGACAAGCCACATCCTTTCTTCTATTCTCCTCCAACCCCATTCAACAGTGTGAAACTTTTCCAATCTGTTTACACAATTTACAAAACCTAATCACCACCAACAAGTCATTTAGAGCAACTGTGGACTGAGAGGCTCAGGTTTGCCTTGAGTGGCAGAAATGGAGGAGGAGACAGGGAGGAGGAGGAGAAATAAAGCACAATCATCTCAGAGGTTTTTTTTTAACTTACCTTTGTCATGGTTGTGTCATCCTTTCTGGGAGTGAAATCTCCAAAAAAACGCAGGCTGTAGAAGCCGACTACAGAGGAGACCATAAGATAGCTGTGAGAATTAAGGAAAAAAGGGAACTCCAGAATAATCCAAGTTTCAAACTCAAAAACCGCATAGAGAGAAGGGGTTGGCTACTTCTGAGTGCATGAGAATGGCTGACCCTTCAATTTCTCTCTTCTACATAAGGGGCCCAGTAAATTAAAGTGCTCCAGAAATTGGTCAGAATACTTACATAAACACAAGAATGGTTACTGAAGCAAAGGATACAAAATTAAAATGATCTCAAGCGCTGCGCCGACAAAGCCAAAGGTAGACAGAGAGGCATTTCCAATGCCAGGCCCCTGGAAGAAGTTTTTAAAAGGGAGAGAAAGAGGAAATTACACTGAAATGCTGTTCTTGTCTACCTAGAACAATGTTTCTCAACCTGGGGGTAAGAACCCGGGGGGGGGGGGTCATCAGGTGGCTTCAGAGAAGTTACCAAAGACCATCAGAAAACACATATTTCTGATGGTCTAGGAACCCCTTTGGCAGAGAAGGCTGAAGATCTCTCCACCTGTCCTTCTCTTCCTTTTTTGGAAACATACAGCGAATCCTCCCACCAAAGGCACTCCTGCTGCTGTTATTGGTCAGCATCTCAGCCAAGGGAAAGGCTTTTACTAAAACTCCAAGAGGAGAAGGGGTAGCAGGCGTACTCGGCGCATGGTAGTGTGGTGCGCATGTGCAGATCAGGGAGAGCGTTTGAGGCTGGAGTGAGGCTTGCATCCCTTCAAAGCAGGGGTAAAGCTCCCATCGAGTCTAGGTTACCTATAAATCCCAGCAACTACAACTCCCAAATGACAAAACCCTTACCGCCCCCCGCCTGCAGTATTCAAATTTGGGCGTTTTGGGTATTTGTGCCAAATTTGGTCCAGTGAATGAAAATACATCCTGCATATCAGATATTTACATTATGATTCATAACACTAGCAAAATAATAGTTATGAAGTAGTAAGAAAAATAATTTTATGGTTGGGTGTCACCCCAACATGAGGAACTGTATTAAGGGGTTGTGGCATTAGAAAGGTTGAGGACCACCGGCCTAGAAAATCAAGAAGTTCCATGGGCAGAAGTGACTTATGCAAAGTTAGCCATCAATAATTGTGCATAATATGAAACCTAGGAATACAAGCTGACTATCCCAAAATGTAGAGCAGGATCCACCAGAGAACATCTAATGAGAATGAGGTGGGCAATGGCAGCTCCCCGGTGCAACCTCTCCAGACAGGAGAGAAAAGGAAAGTGTTCCTCTTCTCTCCTATATGACCAAAACTGGCAGATATCAACATGCAAAAATAATCTGAGTGGAATCAAAAGGGTAAGCTCTAAAAGCAATTTGGCTTACTGACTATCAGAGACCGCAACAAATGCATTTTTTCAAGAATACAGCCAGAGTATACTCAATAGATTCTATGAACATAAAAGCTAGATCTTTGCAAAACATTGATGTCTTAGTCTGTGAGAAGGCCTAGTATGAGAAGCTTCGGTAAGAGAAGCCACAGGTGGTAAAACTTCGTGTGTGAAGGCTGTTGTGTGTAAAGCTACTGTGTTGAAAAAAAAATTGAACAGCTTTTTTCAGCATGTTTTAGATTGTGTGACAGCTAACACTGGCCCAGCTATGTGCACTGTTAGCTTGTGACAGAAAGATGCTAGTTCAGATCATGTTACTTTCCCCCTATTTCCTATTTAGACATACATCATGCTCCAAAACATAACGTTTCCTTGAGTTGGGTTCTATGCAAAAATGTACAACCGCCATCACAATTACATTTAAGGCACAATTCATTCTTTCAAAGACAGCCTGCAAATTCCTATACCGATTTTCCTGGACATGAGACCTGTTCCTGGAAGGGAATCACATTATTTTTGAGCAGATGTGCCAATACTGCACCTTTTTCTGTAATTAGCACCAATAAAAGAACAATACTTTACCCTTGACCCCTTTGGCATTGCAGTTTCATCAACCAATAGGCAAAGAATGTTGCAAGCAACCAGAAGGACGGAGATTGCCTACAAAAGGAAAAACCAGAGATACCTATTTCAATCACTGATGCTTTATAAAGTTGCTATTTTTCACATACTAAAGAGCATTTCTTCATTTTGAAAGAAAAAGCCCTGTATACTGACTAAAATATAGCTGTGATGGTGTAAGGGGATAAAGAATCAGCAGCTCTGCATATTTCCGATATCCAGTTCAGACATGAAAATGAGAACGATCACTAATATCAGGAAGAATTGTGAGTTTTAATTAAGGAAGGGAAGGTTGAGCTTACCGTTTTAGTTAGAAGTAATATCATTACAGTTGGATATACAAGATTTCTTTCCCACGCAGAAGCTTTTTTCCGTCGCTCTTTAAAAACCAAATAACAAAAGTTAAGTGAGATGACTTGAAACAGATTTTGAATATCAGAAGCTCTTGATACGAGAATGTCAGAAATATTAAAAATTTACTAGGTATTTTTAATTACAAAATGTGAGTCAAGCACTGAAAGGGTTAAATGGATGCAATAACTCAGCAAAAGCTGCAGTTCTATAAAAGCTTAGTTGGCCTCTATTTCAGTTTGCCTCAGTGGGAGAAAAGTTGCTGTGAGAAGGCCTCACAGTGTGAGGAAGGCCTTAGTCTGTGAGAAGGCCTAGTATGAGAAGCTTCGGTAAGAGAAGCCACAGGTGGTAAAACTTCGTGTGTGAAGGCTGTTGTGTGTAAAGCTACTGTGTGAAGCTCCTGTGTAAGTTTGGTTTGAGAAGAGGCTCTGTGAGAGCAAAGCTGTTTATCTGCATGAGAAAGAAGCCCAGCGTGGAAGCAAAGAAGGAAATGTACAGAACTTTGTGTTATGGAAACCTTGTTCTTGTAAATAGTGCAACCATATTATTTTACGACAAAGAAAAGCCTCCTACAGAAGATATAACATTGGTCTGTGTGTTTTTCTTCTTTTTATCTCTCGCGACTACTGGTGCTGGGTTACACTGCTGCTAATAAGTTACTCTGCTGTACATTTATGGGGAGGGTCTTTTGTTAATAAGCTCACTCACCCAACAGAGCAACACACAACTAGAAGTATTCCCAGCAATACTGTTATGTCAATTCTACTAAAAGTGGGGTCCATGGAGCATGCAAGGCACTGAGACAATCCACAGGAGTGAGTCCCCAGGAAAGAAGACAGGTGTAACAAATGAGCCCAAATATGGTACAGATACCTGGCATATTAAGAAAAGAAAATGCTGGTACTCTTATATCAGGCAATATAATAAGCACTGCTGCAAGAATTTCCACTGCAGAAACACCTAGTCCATCTATGATTTCCTGGGAGATTTAATAGTTAATCATGAAACACACAAACCTCTGTCATCTAGAGTCTAATATAGTACAATAATTTCATGGCAAACAACATTAGTGCGCAATGTTCATTGTGCAAAAGCGGGGAAACATTTCCAGTAAAAAATTACAGATTTCTATTTGTAGAATTTGAATTTTCATTCAACTTTCCAAAAGCAAATTCCTTGGCAAGTAAGTTTAAAACCTTAAGCCATCTAAAATTGAACAGAATATTATCGAAGTAAACTTTTCCTGATACTAGAACACCGAACCATTCAATGAAGATCCAGGACAAAGGAAATTATGTTTTCACCTGTTATAGAGATTAATGTGAGGACTGTAAAGGTTGTATTGTATATTTTCATGTTTAATTATGCTGATTGGCCACTTTGAGTGCTATTGAAAGTGGAAAGGCAGGCTAAAGTGTAGTACAATAATATAGTAACAGCTGGAACTACTTTTTGAATATGCTTTGGGGAAAGGGTACGGTTTCTTGCCCATAATCAAATGAAAAAGTATTTTAAAATGAAAAAGAAAATAACTCACAATTACTTGTATATGTTTAGTGCAAACTCACAAAATGCAAACAGCTCGCCTGAGGTTTATACCAAGAGAGTCTTGATAAGAAATACACACAAATGCTGCTTACACCATGCAGAAGTGAGCTCCAGGACATGCACAAAAGACCTGATGTAATTACCCAGTTTTGTCTTCATTCTCTTCACATTATTGAGCTCCTGTTCCAGTTGTTTTGGGTTATATTCCACGGAGGAAGAAATCCCTGTTCAAGAACAAAGATGCTGTCACTTGGTTTGGTTTATTAAAACAACTCTGATATTCCACCTATTTTACAAGGAACAAAGTCAATGCAAAGCCCAAGCTAGATAGAGTAAGATAAATGTTACTACAAAATATAAAGTCTTCTACAGCAGAACTTCAAACTGACGTAAAAACATCATTTCAAAAATGGATTCTGAATTTATAGGAGAAAGAACAGGGCAAAAGTAGATGCATCCATAAACATTTTGTATTTTTAAAAGACCATAAATCAGCAGCTACTGCACCATTCATGAAAGCAGGTGTTCCCTATGTCTGTTTGCTCATAACTGGCATCTCTAGTAGATTCGCAGAATTCATGAGGATCTTAAAGAAGAGCTGTTACTCTGATCACAGAGCTAGAAGGACCAATGGGTATTGTTAAGGCTACTTTGAGCATCCTCAGTACAGGAACTTAGAAACACTTTTCTTTCACTACATCTGCTGTAATCTTCATACACGTCGATAGGAAATACATTAAAACTCTTTAAGGAAATGACCACTCTTACAACTTCCTCCAAGATAATATGGAAATACTAATCCTAACATTTTTTCCCAAAAGAACAAGGCAACATTGCAGAGCCACAGACTATTCAAAGCATCATAGCCTCTAAAACTTCATTTCAAGCAAAAGTTTAATGTCTGCATTGTCTAGCCAATAAATCAAACTGTTAGACAGAACTTGTTCAGACTAGTCATGAAAAGGTAGAAGGGATTCTCCAAGAAAACCACAAAGCAGCTCATTTAAGGTCAATTTAACAGTATTATTTTGTTTTTCTTCCAACCCCAACATAATATTTCAGTACCTCAAAGGAAACTGTAGAAGTATCTATTTGCACTCCTTGTAGATGATTGGCAGTTCAACACCAATTAGTTCAAAATTACACTGTTACTAGTGTGCAATAAAAAAAAAATCACCTTTCATCTTTCTTACATAGGATAGAATACCTTCAGAGCCAATAACTTTGATCAAAAAAGTATTTTTGATCCTACCCCGCCCATCTCCTTGGATTCAGGAAAACTAATAGCTAACGGCTGATTTTCCTTTTTAATATAAAGAAGGTCCTAGCTTTATTCTTTTGCTGTAAGAATGATGTGGGTCTTGAAATACAATATGCCAGAAAATTAAACACTATTTCCATTCCACTGTCTCTTCCACAATAAAAACAATCAATGCTCTATCATCTTCCCCATAAATTAAGTTATATAAAATTTAAATTTTAATGGTGTGAGGTTTTTAATTTCTTATATTGTCTAAGTCAGGGAATGTTAAAAACCACAAGTTAATTGTAACTTTTTTGCAGCTTCCTAGAAGCACTATTAAATCAGTTTTGAAATAAAATATTGCACATTCTAATCTTCCACATAAGCAAGGATGAAGGTTATAACTGACAAGGCTTCTCCTGCTTTTCAGAATGAGGGACAGATTTCATGACCTTCCACTTGGTAGAACGTTGCCAAACACTCTTAATGATTCTCTTAATAGTTGTGCAGAGGGAATTTCAGCATGTGTTTGCATGACAAGCAGCACCTGCTGAACTTCCTGCTTCTACACACCTATCAAAGGGACATGAGGCTTGTTTCCTTTTTTTCTGGCAACCCTACATGAGAGACCCTGACTGTCTGCCAAAATTGTGATGAACACAATGTCTCCAATGTAGCCGTATGATGTTTACCATTGAAAGATTCTTGATTTTTATTGACATACAAAGACTGAGTTATATATTATATCATTCTACTAGCACAAGCCTACTGTAATTTTCAAAAATCCCACTTCACCTTTGTTAGTGCCAGTATTTGGATTGTACTTGCACAAGCACAAGAGAAAAAGAAAATTGAAAACTGCTGGCTTTTCTTACTTCTGGTAGTAAAAGATGAAAACTTGGTGAACTTCTGATCCAGAAGCTCACCCCTAACCATGTCTTCTGTATGGATTCACACCCAAAATTCTGAATAACACACCATGCATCTAATGAAGTAGGGTTCTCTTAGGCAAGGAAGACTCATTTTGCCAGTCCCTTTCTCTGAAATTGAGACAATAGCACCTGGTATTCATTGCTGATCTCCCATCCGAATCCTAACCAAGGCCAACCATGTTTAGCTTCCAAGATCATAGAGCAGTGGTTCTCAACCTGGGGTCCTCAGATGTTTTTGGCCTACAACTCCCAGAAATCCCAGCCAGTTTACCAGCTGTTAGGGTTTCTGGGAGTTGAAGGCCAAAAACATCTGGGGACCCCAGGTTGAGACCCACTGTCATAGAGGGTCTAGTGACTTTAAGGTTTTAGTTCTCATTTTTGTGTTACAGGCAATATAAAAACATATCTTATGAAACATGCTTTTAACAACCAGTCATTTTTCAAATTCAAACTATATATATGCACAGTTGAATACTTGTAAGATACATCACTGACAACCATTTTTATAGTTATTAGTTCCCAAATTTCTTCTACTGTAAAAACATCTCTCACATCCTGTCTGATCCACAAGTTGATAAGGCTCTTGTTTTTGCAGCAAACGGGCCTGCATGCAACTTCATACAAGCACTAAGCACAAACACATGCAGCAACTACAGTAGCTGCCTATTTCTGTGAAAATAGTCACATTTTTATACAACTATATGCAGAAAGAACAAAAACCATTATAAATATTAAACATTTGATAAAACCCAGTGGTATATTTTCATTACTTCAAAATGGGGGACACCACCCTCTTGCAGCCACCCTCCCATTGCTAAAATATGACCAACACACTTTATATATAGTATATATATATAAGAAGAACAATTTTGTCACCACTTTGTCTATACACACCATTTAGCCTCCTCATGATAGCTTCTTCTTCTAGGGTGATAATATATATTTGTTCATCCAGGTCTTCAAGGATCTAAATTCAGAAATACTGACACTGAATAAAACATTTACTGGGAAATATGAAACAGCTTCACATGCAGTATATACCAGGCATAGGCATGGGCAAACTTTGTCCCTCCATGTGTCTAACAACCTACAGTTAGAAATTGTGGGAGATGAAGTCCAAAACACCTGGAGGGCTGAAGTTTGCCCATGCCTAATATAGACTATGCCTATATAATTGAAAGAGATACATTACAGAGATAACTATAATCTATGCATGCACATAATTTACGCATTTGAATCAAGTTCAAACTGGCCCTCGGTTTATTGTCGAAGGCTTTCATGGCTGGAATCACTAGGTTCTTGTGGGTTTTTTCGGGCTATAGGGCCATGTTCTCGAGGCATTTCTCCTGACGTTTCGCCTGCATCTATGGCAAGCATCCTCAGCGGTAGTGAGGTCTGTTGGAATATATAAACCCATTGTCCTAATTCCAACAGACCTCACTACCTCTGAGGATGCTTGCCATAGATGCAGGCAAAACGTCAGGAGAAATGCCTCGAGAACATGGCCCTATAGCCCGAAAAAACCCACAAGAACCTGGCCCTTGATTATCTGAAATTTTAAATTTATAACCTTATTGTTTTAAATGCAGAAACAAGAAAAATACAGGGATTTATTTATTTATTTACAACATTTATATGCCGCCCTTCTAACCCCGAAGGGGACTCAGAGCGGCTTACAAGGTATATATACATACACTATATTATTAACATAGTACAATTATCAGTTTTAAATATTGCTATATTGCACTATATCAATTATACTGTAATATTATTAGTAATATTACATGTAATATAAATATATAATTATAATGTCATATTATTATTAGTAGTATTATATTGCATTACATTATAATATTATAAATATTATATGTATATACAATATATTATATATTATATTATAACATATTATTAGATGCATCTGTATGGAAGCAAACATGTTTAATGAATCAATTATTTTATTGCCAATTCACACTTCACTAAAACTAACTAAAAGCTGTAACAATACATATAATCAGATCATGTTCATGCATTTTCAATACCTAACTAGTAATGTATTTATACAAATGCATGGGTGGGTAACAAGGAACTTCCTTGAGCAGTGGTTCTGAACCTGTGGGTCCCCTGGTGTTTTGGCCTACAACTCCCAGAAATCCCAGCCAGTTTACCAGCTGTTAGGATTTCTGGGAGTTGAAGGCCAAAATATCTGGGGATGCACAGGTTGAGAACCACTGTCCTTGAGGATATTAAGACTATAGCTACCACCATGATAGGTCACTGACCATGCAGCCTGGAGTTGATAGCTATTTGAGTTCAACGACTTCTGGAAATTTCTTAATCCTAACATATCGAAAATAAGAAAATTGAACAAATATAGGCTGCTTAATGAATGTTACCTACTAATTTTGGACTTGTTATGTTAAAACAGTACAATGCTTACCGTTGGCTTCACAAGCAACTGACCCATTACTGTAAACATTCGTGAAAGTCCCATTGGCGTACATACTGTGGAAAAAAGCACATATCAGCCAACCTGCACATGCAGCTGCAGTTTCTATTATTTAAAAATGTATTCAAAAATTTAGAACATTTATCAAAGAGAATAAAATCAGATATTTTTGCCTCAAAAAAGCAATGGTTTATTTAATTAAGCAAGATGACTCAAACTTCTCATATTGTCTACAGAAGATTCTACAACGTATTCTACAAAATGACCCTAGAGGTAAATAAATGTTGTATGTTGACAATAGATTTGATTCTGCCTAGTATGGAGAATCCCTATATGGAAAGGCAAAGTTTAAATAAATATTCAAGTTATGGATATTCAAATATTTTTAAGACAGGTCAGCTGACTCTCAGTCATTTGGCCCTCAGTTTCCCTTTATGTAAAACATATAGTAGTCAAAACAAAGAGTAGCCTTTAAAGTTTAATAACAAGACTTTAAAACACTAGGTGTGAAAAGAGAAACAAACCCACACTATTTGCTCTTGTAGTATATATTCAAAGACTTACATAGAAGCAATAAACATCCCATCAATGATATACAGGAATATAAATACGGGAGGTAGAATTCCCAAAGATCTGAAAGTAAAACAAAATTTAAAAAATTCAGAGTGTATTATTTTGTCAAATTAGACTAGTGTCACGGAGCATAGAGGCAATATCTACTGCTATATCTAACATAAAATGGAATACTATATTCAGTAATGCTAGTAGCACATCTTAATAAAATAAATCTTATTCTTAATATTAATAAAATAGTTACCTTTATTATTCTTTTGGAAGAAAAACAAAACCAATTGTGAAATACTATCAGTGTCCCTTTAACTTTTTGAAATGCCTAATTTATCAAGCAACTTTGGATACCAGCTATCCGCATCAATGTTTTAAATTGTGTTATAAAGATTTCATACCATACAAAGACTCCATACTCGCAGCATCATTGTCTATGAGAGCTGAAGCAACCCACACTATTCCAAAGATGAGCAGCGCAAGAAGAATGAGCATAACAACGGTTTCCAGAATGCGCGCTTTGATCCCCTGGAGGAAAAAAAATAATACTTCTATTAATCCTCTGTATTCACAGTTTCTGCATCCATGGCTTCAAAATATTTTTAAAATAGCAAAAAGCCCCAAACATTAATTTTGCAAACTTTATATAAGGAACGTTATTTTACTACACTATAACTATAACACTGTAACATAGAATAGGACTTGAAACCAGGTAGTCTTGGAACCAAATTCCAGGGCATACCAAGTTCCTCTTTATTATAGAGAGAAATTGAGAGAAAAATAAGGGGGGACATTGCTTACTATTTATATTTTCTTAATTCAATGAGAAGCTATAACAGCAGCTTTTTTACATAAAACATTTATACAGAGCCAACAGAAGTATTTTTAAAAGAAAAAACATTTTTATTAAGATACTCAGCTGACAAAGGATATCAGAAAATTGCATCTCCAGTTTCAATGCAGTGAATGGAAGGCCAGTTATGGCAAATAGTTCTCCGAAAATTAAAGTTTGCCCAAGAATAGATAGCCTAAACTAGCCTAAGTCCCAAACAAACACACTTTCTACTAATTATTTCAGCTCTATTTCTTAGAATCTAGAATGGTCTTAAGAGGATAACATCCTTACATACTTGCACTCACAGATCAATACAAACATGCCACACAAGATCAGATCTCACAAGTGGGGGGGGGGGGGGTAAACACAGCATTTTTTAGAAATCATGTAACACTGTACTGTCAGAAATATTAAAAATTAACTAGGTATTTTTAATTACAAAAATGTGTGTCAAGCACTGAAAGAGTAAAATGGATGCAATGACTCAGCAAAAGCTGCCATTCTATAGAAGCAGATGTGCCTGTAGCCTAGTAGGCCTCTGTGTTAGTTTGCCTCAGTGGGAGAAAGGTCTGTGAGAAGGCCTCACAGTGTAAGGCAGGCCTTATTCTGTGAGAGGCGACCTCACATTGTGAGGTAGGCCTTAGTCAGTGAGAGAAGCTTCTGTGTGAAGTAAGCCCCGGTATGAGAAGGCCTCGTGTGTGAAGCTCCTGTGTGAAGGTTGAACCTTATTTGTGTCATGGAAACCTTGTTCTTGTAAATAGTGCAACCATATTATTTTGCTATAAAGAAAAGCCTCCTATGGAAGAGATAACATTGGTCTCTTCTCATGAGGTGGTCATTGACCGTAATAAAATGAACTTGAACATTGGTCTGTGTTTTTTGTTTTGTTTTTTTTTTGTCCTTTTTATCACTTTTGCTACTGGTGCTGGGTCACGCTACTGCTAATAAGTTACTCTGATGTACATTTATGAGAAGGGTCTTTTGTTAATAAGCCCAATCGCCCAACATACACCCTATAATAAGGAGACAGACATGGGTGCGCCTACATCAGGCATGGGCAAACTTCGTCCCTCCAGGTGTTTTGGACTTCAACTGAGAGTTGAAGTCCAAAACATCTGGAGGGACGAAGTTTGCCCATGCGTGGCCTACACTATAGAACATTCACTGCAAGATGATCCATACAGAACTTTTAATAAATTTATCTAGGACATCCATATGTTCAGTGAACACAATCATGGTCCTGGGAAAACAGAAGAATGTCTAGATTACCAAGCTTTCTCTTCTTTAAGATACATAATAAGAATTAGATAGGGTTTAAATGTTCCATTATAATGCCTGGTAGCAAGCAAAGTTTATTGATTAGTCCACTGACCGTATCAACATTAAAAACAAAAACAGAAACGTACACAAATAGACAATAATCACTATCCTAAGACTCCCATAATAGTGAACTAACATACATTCAAACTTGATTAAGTTAAAAGATAATTAAAAATATCATCATTAAAATGCCAAGGTAAAATTTCAAACCACAAAAATTAAAAACGAAGGTTAAAACAAAGGTTAAAATAGACCAGCTATTACACAATCCCAAGCCACTTCAGATATCTGCGTCACCCGTACAGTTTACCCCAATCTCCCCCAGATACGCAGTTCTTAGCTGTGTTGCTTTCTGAAGGAAAAGGGCTGTTTGGTGTGTTATCTTAGCATTCTGGCCCGCCATTAAGAATGTAGTTTTGATATGGGGATCCCAATGAGTCTTCTGTGTAATGAATGTTCCGAGGTATTGATTTCTCTCTTTGTTGGACAAAATACAACTAAACAGTACATGTGTAATATCCTCTACCTCTGTTGCCCCACAGATACAGAAACATTCATTATATGGAACTTGGTTAAACCTTCCATGTTTAACCATTGTATCTGTCTGTTCAAATCGGGTTCTAGTGAATACCTTCCTTAGATGTTTAGGCATTTTGTCTTTAGGTATTCGGCTGCTTGGTAAATGTTTCAAGTTTCCCAAAAGGTTTTATGGTTAGTTCAGACCAGTTATCAACATTGTCAATTGGGAGAACAATCATGTGAAAACAGGAAAAGTCATTCAGTGCAAAATACCAGTACACCCCACCAGTCAATTTCGCCGTTGTTTAGCAATAGCAACAATAATTACATATATACATAACTATATTCCTGAAATGAAGAAAGCTAGCAGGATGGGGATTTTAGGATAAAAAGTAGGTGGTAAAGCCCTGGTGTCTATCCACCCTGATGTACAGCCATTTTCAGTTTAAAAAAATGAGAATTGGAAGGGACCACAAGGGCCTCTCATCCAACCCAATGCCAAAAGATTTAACCTCTGTTTAAAGATCTCAAACGAAGAGGACCTACCAGCCTCTGAGGCAACCTATTTTATTCCATACGATTATTTTTGTTTACTACAGGGAATAAAACATGCTGAAATGTTATTTCTATTAAATAAAGCTCATCGTATCTAAACTGAGCCTAAAGATCGAGACCAACACAGCATTTGTGACACGGTGTAAAAGTGTCACAAATGCTAAGAAAGATGGTTAATTTGGTAATGCATAAGATGGAAAGTATTAAACTTTAGCTTCTTTTCCATAAAAAATATTGGTTTTAAACTCCATCTATAGTACTAGACCTATTTTCCAAATGTCTGCTGTGTTTCTTTTCATCATTACTGACATCCCACTGCAAACAATTAACCCTCCTAAAAACAGAGCATGCCTGTAAAGTCACTTTCCAGCTGGAAGCCCTGTTCATGTATGAATGGCAGCTGGCTTTACAATCTTGTAGCAATGAGACACGAGGAAGCCACGGAGCATAATTACGAAGTAAAAAGTCTGCTCTCCTCCCCCAATAAATCTGTATTAAAGGAGATTACCATTATGTCAATTGAAACACATTAAGACATGCCCCACAATAAATGTGTTTACAACTCATACCTAGAGGGTACTTTCTCTCTGTGCACGGAGTGTGTTTTTTCTCTTGACAGTTGATGTTGGATCATTCTTTTGAATTAAGTTTTCACATGGTGTACATTCAGAACAGTTAATAAATAACACTATGTAACACAATTTTTGTTCCTGGGTTATAAATGTTATTTCCTATCATAAAACATGGAAAAAGTTTATTAAACTGCAAAAACATTGTTTTCGCTGGACATCCTGCAACACATTTTGCTATAGCTTTTCAATGAGTATCCTACAGAGTCACAACCAATTCAACACAGTTTGTGGCAGTCACAAAAATTAAATTTCCTGAGTATGAAAACTACTTTCAGAGTAATTACTGCACAATTAAACAGGAAATAACACTTTCAAACAAGGAACAATTTTTTAAATAAAATTTTGTTACATAGTGAAGTAGTAGAACACAATCCTATGGGCAATTCTAAAATCATTAAACATCTGAAGCAACCTGATCTATAAAGAATTAAAGATGTACAAATTAAGTATTTTGATTATAAATAAACAAGAGCAAACTGTATGCACAGCTTTCTACTACCCACTTTTGAGGACTAACGCTAATGCACTAATACCATCATTTATTTATTTACTCCGTTTCTACCCCGCTCTTCTCACCCCAAAGAGGACTCAGAGTGGCTTACAAAATTGGCAAAAATTCAATGCCGCATTACAACATACATAACAAAATTCATAATAAAGTGATAAAAGCAGATAAAAACATACAATACAATTAATACAGTTAAAACATTAAAAACAGATTAAAACATAGTGTCTAGACTCTGAATGTTGTTAGTGTTGCATTCTATATATGGTGGCATAGCCAGGTCTTCAACTTTTTCCTGAATATGAGGAGAGAGGGGGGCCAGTCTAACATCATTAGGAAGGGAATTCCATAGACAAGGGACCACCACTGAGAAGGCCTTGTCTCTCGTCCCCACCAATTGCGCCTGCAAAGGGGGTGAGTTCGAGAGCAAGGCTTCTCCAGCTGATATTAACACTATACCCAATTCATCAGTAATTTATGGAAAATTACAGGAGTTCTTTTCTTCCCACTTTTTTCAACACTCAAAGCCCTCATTCAATTTCCTCCTAATGCAGATGAAGCTAAAAAAATCTACCTGGACAGGGGACAAAGAGAAAAGGGGGCTAAGGTGGAGACTCTGTAAAAAGAAGCTTCTCTCTAAGCAGTATATTTGTGATATGTTGCTCCATAACATAGAGATAATACATTATCAACATGTTGCTTTTCTTTTCTTTTTTAAGGTAGGGTGATGTACTCTACCTTAATACAAAAACACAGAAGTTTCCCCAAATTACTTACTTCTTAGAATATAACAGCAAACCCTGCTGATTATATGCAGAAATACTTTTAAAATGTTGACATTACATTATTCTAAAAAATGAGAGCTAGGGCCCAATTATCAATTATTGCAATGAAGATTTGCCACTGCACTTGCATCTGATTATGTTATCCACCCAAAACCCACTTTTAGAAGCTGACTGAAGCATGTCGATAGCACTGTATATCAGGATGTTGGAATAAAGTCTGTAGTGCTCTCCTGATCACAGTGTGCTTCAAATCCTGCCAGCAGAGGAGGCCCTTTGGTGTCCTGCAAGAACTGCTTGCTTGAATATGCCCCACAACCAGAAGAGCACTCCAGACATCACTAGATTTTATATTCCTACTACTAAATAGAGATACTACA